AAATCTTTTAAAACAATGTCAACGTCACCTCCTAGAGTTCCGTCGTCTAAATACCATACATTAAATTTGGAATTTAGTTCACGAATAATAGGATTTATAGCTAAACTAAAAATGGCAGGCCCAAGGGGGTCTCCTTGTTGACAACCAACAGCCGATTCTATTAAATTGTCCTTATACAGTAATTTTGAAGGGTTTCTATAACATTGCCAAAAAAACTGTAAATTTTGGGGATTTCTTTTAGAATTTCAGTCAACAAGGCGTCCCTGCTTACGGAGTTAAAGGCGTTTTTAATGTCAACCTTTAAGACGACCTCACCTTGGTTACTATTTAAAAATGTGGATAGGGCATGTACCGCAGCCTCGCAGCCCCCTTTGCAACCAAAGCCTAGTTGTGAGGGCTGGAATTTGCTGGCCAAAGACTCATTGTAATAGGCGCAGCAAATTTTGGCTGCGATACGCCTGTATGTACAACCTACAGCAATGGGACGAATACCGCCATCCTTCTTACGCAGGGCACATAAGTTAGCCCCGTATAAGACATCGATGACGGATTCGTTCACATTGCCGGAGAGCATTAAATTGATTAAGGCCGTCAACTCCTTCAAAAGGGACTCACCAGCCTCCCCGGCGCTCGAACACACGAGATCTTTCAGATGTTGTGGTGTCAAGCCGTCGAGGCCGCCAGCTGAACCATTTCGAAAGGAGTCAACGGCCTCGCGAACCTGTTGGGCAGTAATCGAAAGTGAATGGAGTTGAGGGTTTGGTGGGTCAGGAAAGATGAGGTCATCTGCCGGGGAAGGATGTTTACTCTGCAGGGTTGTAACTACCTCTGCAGAGTACGTAGCGACCACATCACTACTAAATAGAACCCTAGCAGCACCACGGATATCGCCATCCGCTATTTTGGACTCTACATGATGCAGCAAACCTTTGTGAGTAAAGTGTACTGATAATTTAGGATCGAAAGTTTGGGTTTGAGAAAAGCAATTATCTTTAATTTGGGTTGTTAAAGTTTTTTTGTTGGCCAAATCTTTCTGCACATGTAGAATCCTAAATGGAAAGCTTAATAATTGCTCCCAAGCACTTAGAGAGTTCTCTCGAACCACAAGACCAATGCAGCGTGCTAAACTTGAAGCTACGGATGCTCTTGCACCTCGAGGAACTCTCTTTAAAACTGGAGTTGTGTTTTTAAATTTTGATAAGGTTTGCCAAAGTTGTAGTTGCTGGACAGGGGTTGGTGAAGGAGCTGAGGCTGTCACTAGGCAAGGAGCTACATTTTTGGGTTTATGTACCTTGCCCAAATGAACCCTCAGACCCCGTTCACCCTTAAAAAAACGTGCTTGAGAGCAATGTGGGCATCTTACCAGAGTCCCATCCAGGGGTGCGGCAGGTTGACTGGCACTCTGTCCGGCGTAGCTGCTGCTGCACGCTAAACGTTGCGCGGTAGCCAGTCACCGTGTTAACTGTGCGCAGTCATATTTTTTTCGTATTTTTTTTTTAACTGAACTGCGTTGCCAGCCTTTTGTAACCTCACTCACACGACGTGAAACAACGCGTTAGATGTTTCACGTCGGATTCCTATGAGGCCGTGGCGTCACTCCGGTCAAGCCTGCCCATTCGTGCCAAAGCGAGGCTCTGGCGGCTCCCCTCATCCAAGAAACAACCACCAGTGCGTACTCCAAGGACCTTGTATGCTTATATGCGTCTGCATGCTTACACCAGGGAGTGACAGGAGATACTGTATTCACCTATAGTCCATCTGTTTAGGTAATTAACTAAAGGTAAACAAAGAAAACCACGTGACACAGAGATACTTAACCTACTATTACTTCAAATATTTCTCGTGTTTTAATTTTAACTAAATTCACTTTAAAATCGTTCATTTGTCATACACACACATACAAGTACAAATGCCTAAATCGTACAAGAGCCTAGCCTATGGGTCTTTTTCATTATCATGTTTAAATAGAAACTATTCTGAATCTGATGTACGGATTTCTTTCTTGTACGGATATGTGTCTTTGGGCCAAGTTTCTTCAATATATTTGAACACATTAATTACAAACGATGTATACCTAAACTTAAATAACTTAATAACAAAAACAAAACATAGAAACAAGATAAATTCAACAAAATAGGAACGCGAGCGCAAACGACGAGAGAGCTGTCAATGGCGCCTGATTAACCGACTAAACGTAATACACGCTACTTTCACTGTCGCGCTACATCTTAGTTGTACTCTTTAATTTGACAACATTATTTTTGTTCGTTCTTAAAGAAGGGTTTTGGATACCTGGGATTTTAGGCTCTTTATGGTGTCTATTGTAATGAAATATGATATTATTTAATAAATGTTATTAAATTAATATCCTCAAGCAGATATATATAATATTTACTAAGAAATAAGTGAAAAGGAACAGAAACATAACATTTAATTGAGAAAACTGTCGTAAAAAGGGAAACAATTTTATTTTCTTATGAAGTATTTTAAATCATGGAAATGTCAACTATAAAGAACTCTTTTTATGGTTTGTTTACAAATAGTTAACTACCTAAACAGACGGAGTATAGATACTTATTATTGTTCTACTAGACATACATGTCACGCCAATATTTTAAAGTATGTCAATATTGTAAGGTTAGGTATGGTGTTAGGCCGGTATTTCCTCGTCTGACTATTCTGAGAAGACACCATACAATGGCAGGAGTCACTGACTAATAACTGTTATAATCAACAGTCCGTGGAGTCCACTGTTATAGGCATCCTGAACAATAGAGGGCTTGCTATAATACCCAAGCTTAGCTTTAAAAGTTCCTAAATTAACTCGTCGAGTACCGTCATTATAGACACAATTAAAGAACAATAGGTTGCGGTCACCGGTGTCCTCGCGGTGTTTGACAGTTTAAAAGGTTCTGGGTGCTTTCTCTTGACACCAATCTCAAGGTCAATGCAATTTTAATCCAATAAAATCTCAATAATTATTCAATGTCAAAACTATACAACCCCTATCGTAGCTGTTAAAATAGCATTCAGAGTACGGAATATAAAGCCAAACTCAATACCATTTAGTTTCTTCAATATCCACGCAATACGGATGCATGGGCGCTAGCGCTAGTGTTGCAACTCAAGAGTACGAAATTTCACAATACCAATGTCGATCGATCGGAATTGCAATCAAGAGTAAGCCCACAGGTTTATAAAAAAGTGCTGCTGCTCGGTCTATAACAAATGTTTTTTTTATGGCATAAGCCGTAAACGAGCAGACGGATCACCTGATGGTAAGCAATCAGCTCCTTAGACACCAGAAGCGTTACAAGTGCGTTATCGGCCTTTTGAGGATTAGGAATTTGAGGTTTGTTTCGGATTCAGGGATTAGGGAGATTGGGAAGGAAGGGGTAAGGGGGCCTCTGGTAACCTCAAAACACGACGAAACATAACGCAAGCGTTGTTTCACGTCGGATTTCTGTGAGGCCGTGGTATCACTCCGGTCGAGCCGGCCCATTCATGCCGAAGCATGGCTCTCCCACACTTAATGATATGTGTTCCTTAGTTTACTTAAGTCTACTTCTTCTATAACTTTTAAGAAATTAATATAATTTTTAGCAGCACAATGTCTAATGCCGTAGCACTTTTGTAATGGTATGACATAACAATAGATGAATAGAACAAAGACTTTCACTGCAGGCGACCAGTGTACCGTGGCGTGAAGATTTTATGTGGGTAGGTAGGTATCTACCTATGTATAGTACAGTGGTTTCTGATTTATGAAAGACAGCATCTACGGACAGACTGATACACAACTGGGTACTTTCCTTAATCAAAAATAAATTATAAGTGAATTAATTTCTGCAAATAGGCTACAAGGCAGCACTTTTACACGTCAATTTTATCAAGCGAACGATGAGGTCGACATTTCCTAACTGACTACTCTGAGAAGAAATGCCGAAACAAACTCAGAGGTCCGTCTCTTTTAAAGTCCAGACAAATATGTATAAAATTATTTCGACTGTTCAATATAATGACATATTAAAAAATGTTCTTTGATTTCTTCACTTTGATTAATAAGTTGATTTTATGACGCAATTTAATTTTAATATTTTTGCAGAAAATTAAAAAAAATAAGTATGCTGTTTAATACTAAAAAAAACATGACACACAATCACTGATATGATAAGACTATCTATGCACACAATACAAAATTCATAGAAAACTGTCGTTTTTGACAGTTCGTAAAAAGTATTGAATTTGACTTGTGTACCTAAAGTGCTTAATTTAGGATTTGCTGAAATAAATGACTTTGACTTTGACAGAGCGACCTCTCAAAAATAAAACCGACACTTATTTTTTGAAAATTGTACCCCGCTTTAGTAATTTGTCCTAATAGGTGTATTTGAAGAAATAAACCACTACTTAAAAAACCTATTGGTTTTTCAAACATAACATAACATAAAACACGCCTTTTATCTCCGAAGGGGTAGGCAGAGGTGCACACAGAAGTAACACCCACTATTTATGTTAAGAGTTCCATGTAACAGGGGGTGTGCCTATTGAAACTAGTAGAGCTTTTCTCAGTATATTTACGTGAGTAACCCGCGTTTTTTAGTTGACTTACTATGTCGTGTGTTGTAGGTACGTTGTATCGCGCCAACTATGTATAAAATTATTGATGTTAATCAAATATGTAAAGAAAAACAATATTGACTACACAAACAATATAGTATTAATGTTTATTAATACAATTTCTTTGGCTTATATCACTCTTACATAACAATCAGTAAGTTAGTATTATAAAAAAAAACAAACACAATAGTAATTAATATAGTATATTTGTCATTATTATCATCAGTTATGAGCAACAAGAGAGGATAGACATTAATCCAGAATAGGGTAGATTACTAATTTTTATTTCAATGGCCGTCTGGTAGATTATTAAAAAACATTACACATGTATTTTTTATATTATTTATCTTTTACTTACATATTTCAATTTCTTTTTGCAGGTTACGAAGAAATATACACAATATCGCAATTATCACCAAAATCAGCGACAGTCGACAGACTACCCCAAGACACAGTCTTGCAGACCAGTCTCCCAGAGAACGTAGCAGTAAGAATAGAACCCAGCATCAAAAACGATGAAGAAGAACCACCTCTGGTCATCCACGAAGACCTGGAACAGCACGTGATAGTCGCTAGGTCTGCAGACCCTGTAAGAGAATCTAGATCAATAAATATAGATGAGATTCCGAGCTCAAATAATGAAATTGACAATCATTTAGAGGTACATAATAAGAGAAAATACTATGACATCCATCCGACGAAGACTACAGGGTATTTGAGGAGTGACGATGATGTCATACTGTCTTCGGAAGGTTTCGGAGATAGGCTGGAGTTTAAGTTTCCGGGGGAAGGGAAGAGGGTCCCAAAAGCGCGCGCACTGGCGCCTATGGGGCCCAGAATACGGCCTACTGCAGTGCAGCCGATTTTTGCGACAGCTACCCCTAGGAAAGACGAACCGAGACAGAATACTGAGATTCAGAATATCATAACTGGTCTCGTCAAGTTACTGAATGGTAATGTTAACGTGCAAGCTAATTCTCAGCTTTTAAATGGAAGACCAGGTCGTCCTATGGCGTCTAGGATCAATAATAGAGGTCCTCCAAAGATATCTGACGTTCCACCGCTGCCAGACTTCGATCCACCTATCTCTCCACCTCCTCATCACTTCCATCCTACTAAGACACCTCCTCCATATCCATTTGACAGGCCACCAGTCTACGTGAACCTACCAGAACAGATTGTTCCTCCGTTAAACAGACCAGGTTTCCACAGACCGATGCCTCCTTGGCAAAGACCAAGACCAAGACCTCCAAATAGGAGACCAAATCCTGGTCTACCGATGTACAAACCTATGCCTCCACTACCAAATATACCAGATATACCTGATGTGGAAGAGAAGCCAGATGTTGTAGTTAGTGAGAATGAGACAACTCACTCTGAGAATACGTTGCATCATGAAGAAGCTGAAGTTACAGTTGCTGCTGAAAACACAACTGAAACAGAACCGATTAAAGAAGAAAATAATGACAATGAAACTACAACTGCAGCTGAAACAACTTCGTCATCAACTACAACGACTACAACGACAACCACCACTACAACAACTGAACCCCCACCACCAGAAACCACGACCACAGAAAAAACTACGACCACAGAAAGAACTACGACCACAGAAAAAACTACAACAACAGAAAAACCGACAACCACAACTGAGAAAAAGATAGAAAAACCTAAACAAGATAAGAAAAAAGACTCAATATTTGGTGAAAAAGAAAAACCCAAAGACAAAACTAAAATAGATGATAGACTTAATAAGACTACTCCAAAAGATGATCTATTGGAACAGGCTATTAAAATAATAGAGCCTTCTTTAATAGAAATCCCGTCTACTTCATCTACTGTGTCAGCTACACCTACTGACGGTCTTCTTAGTCACACTCCCTCAGTCAGCGTGCCGTCATCGTCATCTTCATCGGCTTCATCATCAGTGGATGTGATAGAGACGTCGTCGATTAATTCTCAACCGTTGCCATGTAAGTACTGTTTGATCTTCAATGATTATACTTTTAAAAATTGAACTGTGGACATTTCTACATGTTCTGAAGCGACTTGTACCAAAGAACTAATTGCAGTTGTTCTTCCTTAAAAAGCAATAGGGTAGATGCTTAATAGTATTTTAAAATGTCCGTCTGGTAGATTATTTTAAATCATTAGACACGTATTTTTTATTTTCTTACAGAAACGAATACTTTCGACGATAATTATATTGATTTGAAATGTCGCGTGACGTCACTTCTATGTACATTTTATACGTAGAAATGACGTTTTAGCCCCCACTCCTAAATTTTGAGTCGTTTTATCCAAGTATTGTTTTATTATACGACAAAATAAAAAATACGTGTCTATGTATTTTTTCATTACCTAACTTACGGACTAATTAGATTTTTAATGTTCATACCCTGTCATCATCCCGAGACCTAACAGCACATCCTGATTCGCCATCTAATATGTTATTAGTCCTCTTGGAAAGGCGCCTTTTCCAAATAACTATGGCGTAGATATGCTAAACTATTAATGATTTTTAAATACCAAGTCGAATATACTTTTCCAACCTTTAATTAGTGAACGAATCCAAGACTTAATGTTGAACTTTATATTTTACTCTACAATAAATTGACGTGCGGATTCAGCTTTAAACCCGGGGATAACCTAACATCACATCTTTTATATCCAAAGAGGTAGGCAAAGGTGCACATGACGGCACTTAATGCCACTTTTCACTATTTATGTTACTATAAGTTCCATGTAATTGGGGTGAGCCTATTGCCATATATCGAGATATAATGAGATTTTTTTTAAACCCTGGAATACTTGGCCCCATCCGGGAATCCAATCCGAGACCCCTTGCCCAACAGTCGCACTTGCGACCATTTGGCCAATGAGGCAGAGACCCGGACAATAATAATAATAAATATTAATTATAATCCAATTTACTTTTTCTAGCATCCCAAGGTACAATTCCATACCACCCGTACCGTCCACGGCCCGGTATAGTCCTGGACGACACAGACTTCAAGCCCCACGGCTCCCGCTACAGACCTCAAGCTGAAGTCTCCGTCATTACGGCGCCGGAGACCAGACCTCCAGGATATGGGGAGATCTTTGATGTGACTGTGTCTGCTATACAGGGGCTGGGCGAAAAGGGTGAGGCTTCAGGTGAGGTTAATTTTTTCTATCTATACATACATATAATACAATCGTAGGAAAGTAAAAACTGTACATCGAATATTTTTTTAAAAGAATGCTTTGGGGGTGGTCAAAGTCATAGTCAAAGTCAAAGCATTTATTTCAATTAAACCATAGTGTGGTACTTTTGAAACGTCAACAAATACAAAATAAATAATAGTCTGTCAGTCAGTCCGTCAGTGAAACTAGGCGAAGCTAGGTGCTCATTCCAAAAAGTAGATTCGAATGGAGAAGAACGAGCAAGAAACTCCATTCGTTACTCTTTTTAAAAAAGTATGTTCTACAATGTCTCTGATACATATTCCAATACTGTACGTATATGTGAGAACAATGCAAAGACACGCTTACGTTACGCAAAGACACGGTCTACGGTCGATACCGAAACCAAAAATATGGTATTTAGAATTTTTGTCTGTTTGTCTGTATGTATGTCCGGGATGATCTCAAAAAGTGCTGCATGGATTTCTTTGAAATTTTGCATGAATATTACAAATATTACTAAACTAAACTATAAACTACGGGGGAGGAGCTGTGAATCACTATTCTACGCGGACGAAGTCGCGGGCTCAGCGATCCGTCCGCTTTTTCACCCTCGATTGCATGAAAATATACTAACGGTAACCCCCCGTGAGAGACCACTGCTGCACTGTGATGAGCCTTCTTTACGAAAGAGGTTTACCATGATCTCCAAGCCTGCCAGGCGCGTTGGAGGGCGTGTCGCGTTCCGCTTGCTCCTCAAGGAGCCATTAGACCACCAAAAATGGGGCCCAATAGCGCTGATACCGATACGGAGCCGCGGAAGACTTAACGGGTTGCCGGGGCTACGGCTCGAAGTACAGGACTAGGAACGGGGTGGTTTTTAGTCAGTAAGAGTCTGACAGTCCCTCTCGCTTCACCCGGGTGAGAGAAGTCATTGGATGACTTTCCACCCTCGTTGTTGAGTTTATGGCCTACATCTAAAATTAGAAAATCTATTCCTAAAGTCAAAGTCAAAGTCAAAATCATTTATTTCAATTAGACCAGAAAGGCACTTTTGAACGTCAATAATAAAATTAGAAGTGAAGCTATTTGCTCATTCCAAGGCGTAGATTCCTATGGAGAAGAACGAGCAAGAAACTCCATAGGTTACTCTTTTTCAATCAGGTTCACAATACAATTCTCTAGTTACATAGTTTGCTGTTTGGATTGTGCGAGAACAATGTAACACTAAAATCTAGTCAAAGTGATTGAAGAAGAAGAATTACCAGAATTAACCTAAGAAGTTTTACCAGAATTAATGTACTCATATTAAGCGTTGTTGCTCATTTCACTAACGTCCAAATTCATTATTCCAGTCCACATCGAAAATGTGAACCTATCAGGCCACGAGCACGATGACATCATAGTCTCACCATCAGGGGAGCAAGGGTTCGTCTCCATCGACGGCAAGAGGACATACTTGAACCTGTTCGATACTTCCACTGCTGCTCCTACCATCAGACCTACTAGGGTGCAGAGTATGCCTCAATCTGGTGAGTGTCAAAATAAAGAAGTTTTAAGTCTTTTTAAATTATTGAAATCGTTAATTTTTATAAAGATAATAACAGACAATTAGGGCTGATTTCTTCCGCTTTGTCAATCCTAATGTTGAGCCACATTAAAAAAAAAACTTTTTAATCTTTTTTTCACCAATTATGTTATCATGTCCATCCGGCTATAATAATAGCCTTTATTAAGATAAACAAAAAAAAACAAAACAATTATTTGACAAACTGTACTCAATTTAACGTCTCAGCTGAATTGATGGCATTGACATCTTCATCTGTTTGCCCAACGATACTCCTAGCTTGACAATCGCATTTACGACTTTCCAACGAACGAAACAGTTCTAAAATGTATTTTAACAATGCATCTAACCTTTTTTATATTCCATCTTTTCCAGTATCACCCCTCCCACCTCCTCCTCTAGCTCCCACCCTTGGCACAGGAGAAGCTATACCAGCAGATGACATCCCCCTACCTCAGCAGCCAGTCAGGCGACCAGCTCATCATCAGCACCAGCATACACAGCTACATAGGCCGCAGCAAGGGTTTAGAAGACCACAGCCTACTGTCAGGTATGGACAGTGAGTGAGTGACTCTCGCACGGAGCAACTCTTTGTGTAATCCACAAATTGGGTACTTTCCTTAACAAAAATAAATTACTTCTACTGTTCAATACAATAACATATTAAAAATAATAACGCTTTCAATAATTGATTTTACGACCAACTTAATTTTAGTATTTCTCCAGCTTATTTTTAAGCAATAAGTATGCTATTTGACGCTAAAAAACGTGACGTCACAATACACAATCACGTACAAAATTCACAGAAATATGTCGTTTTTGACAGTTCGAAAAAAGTATTGAATTTGACTAGTTGGCAAGTACCCAATTGTTGTTTCGGGTCTGGGTAGGTAACATGTATATGTAAACTTGTATGTTTGTAAACGCACCCACGATATAGGAGACAATCCTAGTGTGGAGCAACGTTTTTAAAAGAAAGAAAACCATTGATTATAGCTTCGTGAGACAGACTAAATTAATTATTATGTTTTCAGCTTACTCATGTAACTGTTTGACGAGGAACTCGACTAGTTAATAATTCTATTCATAATAAAAATTGTTTGTTTCAGAATCGACACTTGTATCGTTGGCGATGACTCCACATGTGATCAAACGCAGAATGAAAAATGCAGAACTGAAGCTGGTCAGTTACCTATCATCCTTTCCCTTATAGCTTTAACTGAGACTTCTAGTCTTAGTAAAATTATTCTTGTATACACATAACATAACATCACGCCTTTTATCCCCAAAGGGGTAGGCAAAGGTGTACATTATGCCACTGTACAATATAACACCCACTTTCCACTATTTATGTTATGAGTCCCATGTAATAGGGGGTGAGCCTATTGCCACATACCGGGCACAATTCCAGACTCCGTGCTACTACTGAGAATTTTTTAAAATCCAGAAGTACTTTATTTTTCGGGGATTGAGGAGACTGGGGAAGGGGGTAATTGAGCCTCCGGTAACCTCACTCACAGACCAAAACACAACACAAGCGTTGCTTCACGTCGGTTTTTTGTGATGCCGTGGTATCACTTCGGTTGAGCCGGCCCATTTGTGCCGAAGCATGGCTCTCCCACACTTAAATTATTTGATGATTCCAGGTATATCCAGCTGCCAGTGTCGTCCCGGCTACGCTCGTCGTATACATAGGGACCCCTGCAGACGAGTCGTGGCGCTGCTCCTCAATCTGAGGGTCGACAGGCTTTATGAGAGGAAGGTAAGAAAGTACCCAGACTAAGGAGTTCTTTATGGGTTAAGCCGGTAAACGAGCAGACAGATCACCTGATGGTAAGCAATTGGCGTCGCCCATGGACACCTGGAACACCAGAGGCGTTTTTTTTAAGGGGGAAAATCATCGAATGTCAGAGTGTGTGGAGTCCTCCTGCACGTCGAGCCGGAGCCCCGGCAACCCGTATCCAACTATTTAGAATGTGATCAACAACATCACGGGAATGTATGTTGATATAAACCTGTATCGCTAAGAAGCTATCGTTCGTAGGACAGGATTGATCCGAGCTCGGCTGGCGGGGTCAAGTGCGTTACTGTCCTTTTTTAAGTATTTGATCTCTGATAACTTCACTTCGGCTTGACACAGCGCTTTGGTGGTTTGACGCCAGTTTTCTGTGATCTAACGTTATTTCGCGCCAGTTTTCTGCTCAGCCGTGGCATTACTCCGGTCGAGCTGATCCATTCGTGCCGAGACATTGCTGTTCCACGTGAAAAGTCATCATGAATCTTTCTTTTCTAGCTTAAATTGAAAGTGATGGAATTTTAACGTATTATTTGTATATTTCCAGGTGGCCTGGGACGCTAAGCTGGCGGATAAGGACTCAGACCCGTACCAGCAACTGAGCTACGAAGCCGTTCGGGCTGTAAGTTATTTACATTTATTTATTTAATCCAATTTTTATTTATAGCTATTTTGTGGCGTGGTGATTAATGCTCAAACCTTCTCCCTGTGAGAAGAGGTCTTTGGTCAGCAATGGGCACTTTTGATGTGATGTTCTATTTTATTATACCTGGATAATCTGTAGGTCTTTATTCCGACTTCAAAAAATGGACATTCTGCTTTCTACCATATGGTATGGTATGGTATAAAGTAGCATATATTTTTTTGCTCCCACTTCTCTTCGTGTCATAGAACCGAATAAGGGGTCACAAAAGAAGCGCTCTCTTATAGATATTTCATTCGAATTGTTAGTGCAAGGAGCGTGTTTATCTTATTTGTAGAAACTAAAATGCTTGCTAAAATGTCAGGGGTTTTTAAGGGGGGGAAGTCACCGAATGACTGCTCCCGCCTGGGTGTGGCGAGAGGGAGTGTGACTAAAACTCTTACTGACTAAAAACCACCCCGGTCCTTCTCCTGCACGTCGACCCGGAGCCCCGGTTACCCGTTAGGTTCTCCGCGACACAATTTATGTTTTGCCGCGTGATTAAGGCTAGTTACTATTTAGGCCCAAACGCTTCTTTTGTTGTGGGTAAGATAAGCCGGTAAATGAGCAGACGGATCACCTGATGGTAATCGATCGAAAGATCGGCGTCGCCCATTGACACCTGAAACACTAGAGGTGTTAAAAGTGCGTTACCGGCCTTTCAGGGATTAGGAATTTGAGGATTGTTGGAGATTCAGAGATTGAGGCCCCTCTTCAGGGGGGTTAGGCCTCCAGTAACATCACTCACACAACGAAACATAACGCAAGCGTTGTTTCACGTTGGTTTTCTGTGAGTTGGTTGGTTTTCTAGTTACATAGTTTGTTGGTTCAATGCTTGATCCATAGTTGATGATCCTGACGGTGATGAATAATAAACGACATTTTATTTCCAGATTGACTCAGCATTCTCAATGACTCCGTTCTCGGATGACTTTGTCAGCGGTTCAGTGAACTCCGTCCATAAAGGAGACGAGAATAATCGAGGCGTCTATGTTAATCTTACTATTTTGGTGAGTAAATATGATTTATCTTTTACTAGCTTTTACCCGCGGCTTCGCTCCTGTCACAAAAGAATAAAAAGTAGCCTATGTGACATATACCAATACACACAGCGCCATCTATACCAATACTTTAGTTTTTCCTCGGGAATATCACATTTTTCCGGGTTAAAAAGTACCCTATTATTTAATCCGGACTTCTAACTTTACTTCTGCAAAAATTCAAAACAATCGGTTGAGTAGTTACGGCGTCAAGATGGAACAAACAAACAAACTCACTTTCAGATTTATAATATTAGTAAGGAATCATGCCAACCTCAACCAAAACTGCTTGATTGGTCGAGTGCTCGCAAGTGCGACTGCCGGGCAAGGGGTCTCGGGTTCGATTCCCGGGTCGAGCAAAGTATTACTGGGTTTTTAAAAAATTCATAGTAGTACCACGGAGTCTGTAATTGTGCCCGGTATATGGCAATAGGCTCGCCCCCTATTACATGGGACTCATAACATAAATAGTGAAAAGTGGGTGTTACGTTGTACAGTGGCATAATGTACACCTCTTCCTACCCCTTCAGGGATAAAAGGCGTGATGTTATGTGTGTCATACCAACCATATTTTTGACATTTTATATTGTTTTAAGTTACAGTTGTGTTTTTTCTTAGATTTTAATTTAATTTAATTATGATATTTTATGTTTTTCGCATGTTGTGGCCTCCTATAATATGATGACTAATTTATATTTTAATCTCCGTCTGGTAGAATATTTAAAAACATTAGACACGTATTCTTTATTTTCTTACAGAAACGAATAGTTTCTTACATATATTGATTCGAAAGGTCGCGTGACGTCACTTCTATATACATTTTACACGTAGAAAATAACCGTTTTAGCCCCCACTCCTAAACTTCAATTCGTGCTATCTAAGTATCATTTTATTATACAATAAAATAAAAAAATACATGTCTAATATTTTTTCACTACCTAACTGACGGACTAATTACATTTTTAATTTTCATACACTGTCATCATCTATTGAGGAAGCACATAGCTTTAAATTTTTTGTAATGCTACTCGTATGTGCTACGTGTTTAGGGAACAGAGTGGAAAGTTCCCTAAGATCGGAAAAGGAGAATCCTCCGACCAGGGGGCTTACTCTTGAATCCAATTCCGATCGATCGACATTGGTATTGTGAAATTTCGTACTCTTGAGTTGCAATACTAGAGCCCATTGCATCCGTATTGCGTAGATATTGAATGAACTAAATTGTATTGAGTTTGTCTTTATATTCCGTACTCTGAATGCTATTGTAACAGCTAAGATTGTGGTTGTATAGTGTTGACATTTAATAATTATTGAGATCATATTGGATTGAAATTGCATTGACATTGAGATTGGTTTCAAGAGTAAGCGCCCAGGCGAGGTGATCGTGCCTGGCGGGCTTTCTGCCCGCCAGTTGTTCGTTGGGATTTTCATACTCGTGTTTAATCGAATGTAAACTTTTCATGTGCGATGTAGGATTTTATGACGTCATCCGTTGACTAGTGACATGTGTCGCCACACGTGTGTTCCTTATTGGAAACCGTAATTCAATAAATAAATAAGTAAACAATGTGTGTGTATTTGAACTTGTATGTTTGTAAACGCACACACGATACAGGAGATACTCCTAGTGTGGGGCAACGTTTTAAAAAACAAATCAATAAAACCTACTTACTTTATGTTTTCCTACTTTATTATTGTTAACAAAATATTCGAAGTATTAGCATGAACAGTTAAATTTATTAATTTTCTAACAGATGCAAGAAACAGCAGAGACCCTCCGGCCCCAGGTGGGGTCCGACATACAGAAGCACCTGCTGGGCGTCATCCGCAGGCGGTCCAACAACGTGGGCGCCTCCGCGCTCTACGTCGACACCCCCGCCGGCAGTGTACTGCCTTTACATGGTCCGTTCATTACATTTCTTGGCCAACTACCATAAATTAACACCCTTTCTCTTCACGCGGGTATCATATACATACAGGACTATAAGTAGACTCTACCTTTGCACAATAAGAGACTAAATATTTGAAAGAGACTGAAATACTTGTCTTAATTTGAAGAATAACACTTTTCTTAATGTTCGTACTTTCTTTTATTTAGCAAATAAACCTTAATTTATTCACAGACATTCTACATCATTTTTACTACTACAAGACAAAAAATCAGTGTTGCCAATATAAATGTAAAGCTTATGACCAAAAACTTGACACAGCTGAGCTCAACCAAATTATGATAACAACTGTATTATGTATCTACCTGTGATCTACAATGAATAAATTGATTTGTAATTTGAAATATAGAAATTTGAATTTGTAGATAGTAGTATATAAATTCACCACCCTTGCTCTCCCAGTGGGTATCGTATACCCAACTAAAAGACGAATACTTGACTTCAGCATCAGTTCTATGATAAACCTGAAACCTTAAACTGCGATGTTCAAAGTATTGAATATTTTCAATGTATATTCATTGTATATTCATTGTTCCCAGATGTGGATGAATGCTCCACCTCAGACCTGAACGACTGCCATCAGTACGCTACCTGCACTAACACTTGGGGAGGCTTTAAGTAAGTACCAAGCATGATTTTATAATAACTATCGTGAGACAGAAGTATGTCTGGACTAAAATTTATTTATTTATTTATATAAAACCTTACCTAAACTACCATTACAGGTTTCTCCATTGTGATAGCTAGGCCTTAAACTAAATCTATGTAACGTCCAATTATAACAAAATCATAAATTAAAAAACAAAAATGAACAAATTCTTGGCTAAACTAAACTCAATAATCGAAAATACAAATAAAAAATAAATTTTGCAACACAAAGAAAAAATAAACAAAAACAATTACTAATTTAAATTTAAAAATTAAAAAATCTACATATTATACAACATACTTAACCTCTAGTAGGTATAACAAGTACAAGATTCCTAAAACATAACATTAATCTATTACAAATATTATAATACCTAAATGAGATCATACACAGTGACGAGATCAAAGATGCACTACTTACTACATAAAAATTAACAAACATACAGTAAAAGTAAAGTTGAGATTAACAAACATACAGTAAAATTGAGTGATCGAGTGAAAAATAGTGTTATTAGAGAGAGGTGTGGATTGAAAGACGATGTAGTGACAAGGATTGAAAAGGGAATGGGACATGTAGAAAGGATGGATGAAAGTAGAGTAACGAAAGAAGTATACAGAGCGGAACGGGGCCGTCGGTAGAGGGCGCCCTAGACGGACATATAGTGACCAGATTGGCGGTATATTAAAGAAGGACCAAATAAAAAGTACCCTTTACCGACGAGCATGCATGAAAAGATTGATGACTGTTAATGAAGCGAAAGGGGTATGTAAGAATCGTAGTAATTGGCGTTCCTTAGTCTCTACCTACCTACCCCCATGGGAGACTGGCGTGAAGTTATGTATGTATGTATTATTTTTGTTTGTAGTCTATACCTAGCGGCGGTAAAGAGGTGAAGAAACTAAACATATATCTTTTGCTGTATTTAATAAAAACTAGCTTCTGCCCGCGACTTCGTCCGCGCAATCTCGTTTTTTCCAGTTCCCGTTCGTGATACGCGATAAAAAAATTATGATAAAAAGTATCCTATGTCCATCTCCTCGTTCTAAGCTACCTACCTACCTACCAATTTTCATCCAAATCGATTTAGCCGTTCTATAGTTATAAATAGTGTAACTAACACGACTTTCTAACTATTCTATCTCCTTTATAGATAACTATATTTTAACATTTCTTTCTTCGTTCAGATGTCAGTGTTCAGAGTCTACCCTGGACGCGTCTTCCTCTCCCCTGAAGGCCGGCCGGGAGTGCAAGTCGTGTGCATCCTCACACTGCAACGACAGGGGAGCCTGCAAGTACGCCAACGGACAACCTTACTGCAGGTAAGCAGTCAACAGTATATTCAGTTTGATTAACCTCTTGTCTGTCGATATTAGGTAATAGGTTAGAGTGAATAGGTTGCTTATGGGACGACGTGCTCCATCGTAGACCGCATCATCGCTTACCATCAGGCGAGATAGTGGATAAACGTCGCCCTAACAAATATATATAAAACATAACATAACATACATAACATCACGCCTTTTTATCCCCGAAGGGGTAGGCAGAGGTGCACATTTCGGCACTTAATGCCACTGTACAATGTAACACCCACTTTTCACTATTTATGTTATGAGTCCCATGTAATAGGGGGTGAGCCTATTGCCATATACCAGGCACATTTCCAGACTCCGTGCTACCACTGAGATTTTTAAAAACCCAGTAATACTTTGTCCGACCCGGGAATCGAACCCGAGACCCCTTGCCCGGCAGTCGCACTTGCGACCAATCGGCCAACGAGGCAGTCATATATATATATAAAAATCTTTTAAAATTACGGTCTTCAAGCATGACGATTATCCATTATGCCAAACCCCTCCTTTATAAAGGGGATCCCTAATTAAACAGTGGACCGTCACGCGTTGTATGACGACGGTGATGAAACCGCGTAAAAGCACTTATAATAAAAACTAGCTTTTACCAGCGGCTTCGCTCGCATCACAAAAGGATAAAAAGTAGCCTATGTGACATATACCAATACTTTTGTTTTCCCTCGGGTATATCAAATTTTTCCGGGATAAAAAGTACCCTATTATTTAATCCGGACTTCTAACTTTACGTCTGCAAAAAATCAAAGCAATCAGTTTAGTGGTTACGGCGTGAAAGCGGAACAAACTAACAAACAAACAAACTCACTTTCCGATTTATAATATTAGTAAGGATAATCATTTATTTCAGACCAAGTCCATATTCTTGTTAGTAAGATTTAACTTAAAAACTATGAACCGTCAAACTGAATGAAGCTAGGTGCTTGCTCCAAAATGTATATTTGTATGAACACGAACAAGCAAGACACTTCTTTTTGTTGATCAACTGATTTCTGTCTGGGATGATGATGATGAGGATGACATTCCCCCCAGTTGTTCGTCCGGGTACTACGGGTCGACGTGCGAGGTGGACGGCGAGGTGGTGGGCGTGGCGGTGGGGGCCTCGCTGCTCGCCGCGCTCGTCATTGCCATCACACTCGCCGCGCTCATGTCCTGGAGGTAAGCAGATATAGCTTAACATAACATCACGACTTTTATACCAGAAGGGGTAGGCAGAGGCGCATATTACGGCACTTAAAGCCATATCTATTAATATGAAATTACCCACACATGTATATTGTGTAAATGATAGTAGGTAATGTCGATGTGTAGCGCTGCGAACTAATTAGCGTTGTTTTGTGTACAATGTAACCCCCACTTCTCACAATTTATGTTATAAGTCCCATGCAATAGGGGGTGAGTTTATTGCCATACTCCGTGCTGCCACTGAGAATTAAAAAAAAACAGTAATACTTTGCCCGACTCGGTAATCGATTTTAGTATTTATATGTATCATTTACGCTTAAAATTGGACCCTGGCTATGTATAGCACTACTTGATAATTTATTTATTTGTCATGAACTTAATCAAAAAAGCAACACTCACTAGCACTCACTTACAAACTCATTTACACTAACTGACAAACTCATTTACACTAACTTACAAACTCATTTCATACTTACAAATCAATATTGATTGCACGGTTGGCCCAGTGGCTTGGGAATTGGCAGCTGTACAACGTATTACGGGGTCTTGTGTAGGAGTCTGAGTATCACGTATTTGTAATATTTAAACGCACCCACGAGGCCACGACATACGAGAAAATCCTAGTCAATCATCACTCACGTACTATCATTAACCATTTCACCCACTCATCCAAACTTACTTGCTCACCCATTTGCTATCAATTTCAGCCGCAAATGGTCCCGTGAACAGAAGGCGGCCGGTATGGGCTCCCCTATCTTCAACTACATGGCTGCCAATACTATCAAAACACCGCCTGTTGGACAACCGCCTTACCAGGTAAATAGTTCGTCAGTCAATAAATACATCCTTACTAAATATTATAAATCGGAAAGTGAATTTTATCATCAATAATTATCTCTAGTAATGATAAAATGAGCAAAATACAAAATATTATCTTAATAAGCGATGTAGACTTTATACAGTTAGATGTGTGTACTAGGAAAGCCCTGTTTCACAGACTTTATTGTTTTTTTTTATATTCTACTAGCGGACCCCCAACAGACGTTGTCCTGCATATCAACTTGAATGTATAAACAAAAATTCATTCAGCTGTTTAGGATAAATAATCTAAACATCGACTGCAGCGCCATCTGTCGGGCTGATTTGTGAATCTAAACCATTCCCAGATCGTCTTGAACACACACAAAAAATTTCATCAAAATCGGTCCAGTCGTTTGAGAGAAGTTCAGTGACATACACACTCACAGAAGAATTATAATAATATGTATATAAAGATTTATGCTGCATCGTGCCTGGTGCTGAATAAATGTTTTTTCTTTCTTTCTTTCTAACTCAGTACTTGAATCGGAATCAAATTCATACCTAAAATTCAACAAATTCAAGACATACGAGTTCACTCTCAGATTGAAAGCTACACAATGAAAATCTATAAAATGTTTGTTGCTTTACAATACTGTCGAAGTGGTTTCTTTTCATAATATGATGATTGCGCAGTTGGCGCGGTAGCTGGGCGACCGGCTGCCGCGCAACGTGCAATGGGTTCGATTCCCGCACGGAGCAACTCTTTGTGTGATCGTGATCCTCAAATGGTTGTTCCGGATCTGTGTGAACTTGTATGTTTGTAAACGCACACACGACACAGGAGACAATCCTAGTGAGGGGCAATGTTTTAAAAATATATATACATGTGTATATAAAAAATAAATAAATAATAAATAAAATAAAATTTATTAAAAACAACATAGAACACATTTA